TTTCTTTCTTTCTTTCTTTCTTTCCTCTCTCTCTCTCTCTCTCTCTCTCTCTCTCTCTCTCTCTCTCTTTCTCTTTCTCTCCATAAACACTAGGAGCTGCTGAGGGGCCACAATGGCTGCCAAGCATTAAATCAAGCAATTTGTTATTTTTTCCCCATTCTTTTGATTATACATCACTTAAACTGTCATGCACCAAGCCGCAAAGTCTTACTGCTTTGTGGCAGTTGAACTTCTCATCCCCGCCACCTCTTTCTGCCAATCCCAGAGCCAAAAGTGACTCATTCCATCAGGATTAGCTCTTCTTTCTCTGTCCTTCTATTTTGGTGTTGCCCAGACTAGTTTTTGCTTTAAAAGAAAGAGTGACACTCCCCATATAATGGAACACTATTGCAAATGCTTGGAAGAACAGCATCACCTCCCAAGGCATTTACATGAAGCTGGCAAGATCATGCTTCTCCACTTCCATGCTACACTTACCTGTTTGTGACAATGACAGCAGCGATTATGTATAACTTATGTGTCTCCTTTGCAGAGGATTTATTATGCCATTATTTCTGAAGAATGGATTTCACCAGGTTACTACCATCACAGCTGGATCCACTGCAGAGATGGTCTTCCAAGAACTGACACCTTGGGTCACATCGGCATGGATACTCCATCTGGTGTATGAAGCAAAATACAAGGGAAAGATTTGGTTTCAGTCCTAAATGGCCTAGCTGTAGAAAACTCAGTGCCTTTTTTTCTCCCTGCATTTTAGGAGCTAATGGAGACTTGCATTCTACTGTAGAATATCTGCTTGGTTTGCGGTTCATTTCAGAGAGATTTGAACTGAAGAGGGAATCTCGGTGGCTTCCTTATTTTCCTCTCTAGCTCTGTCCCAGAGGGAGGTTCACTCACTGGCTGTGTTCACATACCATGTTAAGACATTGTTCAGTTAACTACGGACAAGTTATAATTGACTGGGATCACACAACACATGAGGCTATAGATTAGAAATACACAACCAAATGCCAGATATAATCTCTAAAAGCTGTGGGAACCCTTAGAAGGTTGTTATCCAATTGTAATTTTAATGACAGAAGAGGGAAATTACAAACTGCATTACTAGAGAACATCATTATAAACTGCATTTAATTTTGTTTGAATTATAATGTTAAATCAAATCACATTTTTTGCTCTGATTCTACTTGCTACTTTTTGCAGTGTGCCCCCTAGCCCACCATTTAAAGCTCGTATAATGTTAGACCCAATAAAGTTGCATATCATCAATCATGATTTACAAAGCACATTAACCTAGTTCATATTACACACTCAACCAATACAGGAAGTCCTTAACTTATGACCATCTGTTTAGCGACAGTTCGAAGTTACGACAGTGCTGAAAAAGTGACGGTTACAACCATTGCAGCGTCCCTGCGTTCACATGATCAAAATTCAGGTGCTTGGCAATCGGCATGTATTTATGATGGTTGCAGTGTCCCAGGTCACATGATTACCATTTGTGACCTTCCCAGGGGGCTTCCAACAAGCAAAGACAATGGGGGAAGCCAGATTCGTGTAACAACCATGTGATTCGCTTAACTGTGGGATTCACTTAATGGCCATAGCACAAAATGTTGTAAAATTGGGCTGGCTCACTTAACAACCGCATTGCTTAGTGATGGAAGTTCTGGTCCCAATTGTGGTTGTAAGTCAAAGACTATCTGTATCAAATAACCCACAGCATGATTTATGGTGATGCATGAATCCAATACTCAATTAATGTTTTTCCATAGAGAGAAACAACATGCTTAGGAGGCACAACAGGCCTGAGTTCAATCATAGGTGATTTCAAGCTAGTCCTTATTGCCTCCCAGGTTATTGTGATCATATAGTATTTTGAGTGTCTTAGAAGAAAAGTGGGAGCTATACATTTGAAAATAGTATATTTTTAAAGATGACCATTTAAAGCAGCTTTTAATTTTTGGCTTTGTTTCTGTGATTGTACTTGTTTCCAATCATAGTTGTTTCACAATTGCTTGGAAAAATAATCAGACTTATAATTATGGAGGTGCTTTAAACTTACTTATATTCATGATGGTTTTTAATTTTTTACTGTTGGACAATACCGTGTGGATTTGATGACAGAAATAATTAAACAGTTTAAATAAATTGAACAGGAAGTGTGGGAAGCACCTCTAATATAAAAGCTTTGTGAATCAGTAGAGCTTCTTCATCCAAGATGGTTATTACATAATTTTCCAGCTCTGCATTTCTATCTGGAATGCCCTCAGAAGAAGGAATGTATAGCTAGTTTCAAGTAAGTTTCTTACTGTGCATCCAAAAACTGAAGAGGTCTTATTAAATGCATGAATAAAGCAACAGCTACTGTGTATTTATCAGGTTATATGATATTATATGATAACCATCCTTATCTTGGGGTTGCACTACTGTTCAATGAATGCCTAGTGAGAACAGTACCACTAACACCTACACAACACATAGGCTGGTGACCCCAGGGACAGATGATCTAGTGAGGTAGCTCCATTATTTTTAACATCCCTGCGTCTATTATTTTCTGTTTCACAGGGTTTTTAAAATATTTTTTATACATTTTAATGTATTTATTGATTGTTTTTTAACCTTGTTGTACGCTGCCTAGAGTCGCTTGGGAAAGGGAGATTGGCACCTAATACATTGAGTAAATAAATAAATAAAATATGAAATATTTTATGTATATTAATTTTTTACCTTTCCTGATAAAGCATTCCAAGGACAGTCATACCGTAAAACATGGTCACTGCTTTTAAATTCCTGTAAAATACACAATTGTAACTGATTTTTTTTTTAAGTACTTCAGTTGTCTCACTCTTTTATTTAACCCTACAGTTCATTAGACCTGGTGGAAAAAACTCTTTCACCTGCTACCAAAAAATAGCAAATTTTGATGCCCCCATAACTTCCAAAGGAAGGATGTGTTGAGTTGGAGTGCCACCACAGAGAAGGCCCTGAATGTCAGACTTCATTTAGTCTACTAAACCATAGCTTATTATAATTTTAATTGGTTGAATAAACCATGTGCTGTGAAATAAAACATGCTTTGCATCTCACCATGGCTGGGTTTACATAATACACTAAGCCAAAACCAAGTCAGTTGTGTTACTGCATAGTGCATTGCAAGAAACCTAGTTTTACTTGGTGATAATAGAACTTGGAAACAAGGCTCTTGTCCCATTGTACTTTTTAAAGTGTTTAACAGATTATTTAAAATTGTTTTAAAGCAAACCACCAGCCTCATATTTATTGCCACAAATGTGCTTGGTTTCCACATAATCCCCATAGTTTTTTCTTAGAAAATAAAAAGGATGAATGGTGGTGGCCCAAAGCTTTATTTCAACACATGTCCTAATCCAGAAAATGGATAAAATTAAGTTGGGAATGAATAATAAGTAACCTGAGATGGGGGTGGACAAGAATGCAGGGGAAAAACTTGCTAGCTGTTTTCTGGAAAATTGGGCTTTTGTGACTAGATACACCCTCTCCAGTAGCCACTTGGAGAATGAGTACTGTATGCTCTTTCTTGCAGCCATTTTCTTTGAGTGTCTATAACAGTGTTCCTCAACCTTGGGAACTTTAAGATTCCCCAGATGACTGCCTGAGGAATTCTGGGAGTTGCAGTCCACATGTCTTAAAGTTGCTAAGGTTGAGAAACACTGGTCTATAGTATTCTCCTAAAATGTAAAATGTGCCCACTAGTATCCCTGATACAACCACAAGGACGTCCTGAATAGATCCCCAAAGCAAAAAAGTAAAGATGTGAAAAAAAGAGAGGCTCCACCATAATAACTATTGTAATTTCTTAAGCATTACTGTTGAATCATCAAACCATGCCCTTCAAAGTAGTACGTTTTAAACAGTAGCAGATAAAAGTATTTGAAATGAAAGGAACCTTTCCTTAGTAGAATTTGCTGTGGAGCGGTTGGTCCTTGTTTTCCCTTTTCAAGCAAATAAAACAAACAACAAAAAATCCCAAACGTTTTATGATTTGAAGAAAACATGCACCCAAAGGGGTAATTTCCAGATTCAGTGCTCCTAATAACTTTCACACACGTCCCTGCAAGATTTGGAAACTGAAGGGAAAAAAAATCACTTTCAGAAGGCAAGCAGGCTCTTGTGTTTTGGCCACCAAAAAGGTTTTGCCCACACGTGAGTTTTGCCCACCAATCGATTGCATCTGCTTATTTTGGCTGTCTTGCACTTCTCACCAAATGGGTTAGAGTTAGGGTTATTATCAATGGTTAACAGTTACCTCTGCAAATTCACATACCCACGCCATAATCCCAGTAAGGATGTCACACCAATCGAGTATAATACCAACCTGCAGCAGGCAAAAACTTATCAGATATGAGATTTAGATTAGATTTAGATTAGAACTAGGTAGATTAGAGAGAGGGAGGGAGAGAAAGAGATAGAAGGAAGGATGAAGAGAGAGAGAGGGAGAGGGAGAGAGAGACTATAGATATACTTTTATTACGGTCATAAACCAATATAAAAATATTTATTACTTGAATTACTGTATCTTTTTAAACCTCACTTTTATGTTGCATGACATAGTTCTCATATTAATTATATTGCATTTTACTGTTTTCAGGTTTTACAATGCTTTGTCTACTCCTGTTTTCCTGCTAAAATTTGATAAGTTGTAAATTTTGTAATATGCTGTTTTTGTTCTGTTTTGTGACTGTAATAAAAATATCTATCTACCTATCTAGCATCTCTATCTACCTACCTACCTACCTATCATCTCTCTCTCTCTCTCTCTCCCTCTATTTATCTATCATCTATCTATATATCATCTATCTATCTATCTATCTATCTATCTATCTATCTATCTATCTATCTATCTATCTATCTATCTATCTTAAACTGCAGTTTATTCTATAGACATTAAGAGGTTATCATACTTATGTGAGCTATATTCACTGTCTGGAGTCTTAAAGTGGGCAGTATACAAGTTTTTTTGTGTGTGTAAAGAATCAGCTTATTGCTAAAGAAAAATAAATAGGGATTTTTTTCCTGTTTCTTGGTCATTTGACATAATAATGAGCTGCCGTAATCAACACTGTTTTCCCCTTTCCATGGGGCTCAGACAACTCTGCCTGCCCCTTACTCAAAATGAAGTGATCCCTAACATTATTCTAAATGGGGAAAATATGTGGAAGGACCATGTACCCAAAGAGATGCTACGTTTACAATGATCTCTACCTTCTCAAAAAGTCAGATTTGCCAGGTGAAATGATAGAAAAGAGGTTCTCTGGGTGTGGCAAATTTACATTGAAAGAGACAGTCCTTGATATTAGTACAATAAAAGAAACCAGATCTCAATAGCTGGTATTTTTAGAATTATTTTTGCTTACATTCTTCAGTCATTTTCATATACTGTACATGTATAATTTGCTAGAGTAGGATAGGAAACAACATGACTAAAACCATGACTGCTTATACAAATGAGGATTAAAATGGAATTAATCTTAAAAAAAGCAAAAGTGAAATGAATCTACTCTATAACTAGAGTGAGAGGCTTCAATCTGTGGCAACCCAGATTTAAATCCTTCTAAGCTATGGAACTCAGTGTCTAGGCTGACATAACATGCAAAGTCGATTTGTTTCATTTTTCACTTATGTTCTGTGTAGTTTGTAAACCATGGTTTATGCTTTACAGCAGTGTGTGAACCCAATAAATGGAACATTAAAATATATAGTTAAATAAAACAAGATTTAGTGCAATGTACACAAAAACAGTATCAGGTGAAAAACAGACTAAGCTACATTATAAGCTTCCAGGGCAGCCAAAACATAGCTCCAAATCTGGTAGAGAAACCATAAAATGCCAACTGAGTTGGCTTAAGAAGCAGGATTCCAGTTCCAACTTCGTAAAAATACAGCCAGGGAACACCTACTGATCTTTTTCTTTAATATATACTTTTATTTGTTTTATTACGAGTTTAAGAAAAATACAAAAAATACAAGACCCCCCAAACTAACTTCCAAAAAGTACAAAAAGCAAACTAAAGAAAAGTTTAAAAACAATGATAAACAATCAGAAATGAAACAAACAGAAAAAGGGAAAAGATAATTATAAACAATCTAAGTGTATCACATTTATATGAAATAGTAAACAGTATATGAAGATTTCGAATAAAAAAAAATCTATTGTAGTAAAAGAAATCATGAAATCTGTGCCAAATCTTGTCTTTTTTTTTTTTTTTTTGGCTTAGTAGAAAAAAGTTGTGTTTTCAAACAATGGAGAAATTACACTTGTCCTAAATCTAATCTTTAACATCAGAATAGTAATACTTCATTAATACTTCATTAATACCTATTGTTCTTAAATGAATTCAAATCCCCGAGGGCAGCTAGATTACATCTTAGAATATTGAAAGAATGTGCTAATAGTCTTACCAAATCTCTCAATTATCTCTGAGAAATCCTGATGAAATGGGAGTGAAATGGGAAAGGAAGGCAAACATCTGAATATTGGAATAAAGGTAAATCTGGGAAACTATGCACCAGCTAGTCAGTATAATCACTAAAATCAATACCCAGAAATAAAGCAGATAATTAAGCAAATGATCTATTAGCACCTTGAATACACTGAAGTGGTTACTAGAAATCATCATGGATTATCAAAACAAGTTTTGCCAGATTAATTTTACTTCCTTTTCTAACTGAATGACTTTCTCAGTAGATTCTGGGAATGCTATAGATGTAGTGTTTATTCATTTCAGCAAAAATTCTGATGAAAATGGGTTGGATGGCATGTCCATCCAGAGCTGCCTTGAAAACCATAATCAAAGAGTACAGAACAAAAGTTCCACAACAAATTGGCATGAGAAGTCATATGGAGTGCTGTAGGAATTTTTCCTGGGCCTGGAACTCTTCAACTTTTTCATTAATGAGTAAAGTCAAGATGTGGAAGGAGTGCTCATACATTTGCACACAACCAAAGCAGGGTAGGATAGCTAATATTCTAAAAAAATCAAAATGATCTTGGTCGGTCAAAAGAGTGGGCTGAAAATAACAAAATGAATATCAGTAACAAACACAAGTGCAAGATTGTTCACTCAAGAAAAAGAAATCAATTGTATAGGTACAGGATGGGGTATCACTGCCTTGCAAAAAGAATTTTGGAATAGCAGTTGATTATTTAATGGAACATGACACAGCAGTCAGATGTGACTGCAAAAAAGGCAAATGCAATTTTTGGTTGCATCAATAAAAGTTTAGTTTCCAAATCATGGGAAGTAATAATTTTACTCTATTCTGCATTAGTCCAGTCCCACCTTAAATACTATGTCCAGTTCGGGGCAACCCATTTTAAGAAAAAAAAATTAGAAATATTACAACAGATGCAAAGAATGATAACAAAGAGAATCAAGCGGTGGGGAAAATGCTATCTTTAGCCTTGAGAAAAAGTTCACTGAATACACTTTTCAAGAACCTTGAGGGAAACCTTCAGAAAGAGGCCGAGGCGTGTTCTCTATCATCTTAGTGTGCAA